GTGTATTTGACATAATGTATGTCGAAACTGTTTGTGAAGTAAAAGTAGTGTTGTTATTTAGATAGCACTTCAAACCACACAAACTCTTGTGTTTCTTTCTGGCGCTGACCTCTTGGTTTGAGAGGGAACTCTCTGAGCTTTACAGAAAAGAAAAAGGAAGTGAACACTAACCGTTTTTTGTTTTTCTAGTATCTTTCTATTAGTATCTATTTGTCTTTGTATCTTAGCCTGACTTCTTTTTTTCTGCTTGTTATTGTCAGGATGCCAGCGTACAACGCCAACTTCTTCTTCGCAGTCTTCTTCATTGTGTACATCCTTATCAACACTTACATCTTCATGTCCGTCTTCCTGGCTGTCGTATACAACAACTATAAAAAATATTTGAAGGTACAGCCATGTGACCGTTTCCTGTGCAGGTTCTCTATATTTTTATAATTTCTTTAAAAAATACCATACTGTGCAAAAGTTTTGATCCACTCTGCATTTAAAAAAACCCCACACACACTTGACACAGGACTTGAGAGATGTATCTGGACCTGCATTTGATTTATCTACTGTTCACTGAAGCCTTATTACAAATAGTCTCAGTGGAAGCGTGGCTATAAAGAGAGGGAAACCAGGAGAAAAGGCTAAGCTATACCACATTCCACAAAAACTGAACGGAAAATCAGTGGGACAGGTCTTATGGTATCATAAATCCAAAATGAAATTTTTAATTTAAATCAGTGTGTTCAGAGGAAGTTGGCAGAGGGGTACAGTAAGTGTCTATAGCCATCTGTAAACCACAGTAAAGGTTCTGTGCTAGTTTGAGCGTTTCAGCCGGTGGTGTTGGGAATCTTGTCAAAATTGATGAAACTATGTACATAAAAATGCACTGTCACATTTGATTGATCATGCAATACCATCTGGCAGGCCATTTTTTTGGTGATGGCTTAATTTTTCAGAATGGCAATGATCCCAAAAACGCTGACAATGCAATAAAAGCATGCATTTTTAGAAAAACACATGGTGGAACACAAGCAGTCATGGATTGGCCTCCCTAGAACCAGGACCTCAACATTAATAAAACACTTTAGGATCCTCTTGACGACGACGTCACCCAACATCTAAAGAAGACCTTTGGAATTTCCTCCAAGAAGCCTGGAGAACTGTTTATGAAGACTACTTCAGGAAAGCTATAAGGAAGCTTGCCTAGGAAATATCAGGCCGTGGTAAAGAATAAAGGACGTTGTAGCCAATATTGACTTTTAGGATCGTTAGAATTGTACAAAATCACGCAACATTCACACAAGCATTGCCACTCTGATGTATACATCAGAGAACAACTTGGGGTTCAGTATCTTGACTAAAGGTATTTTGACATGCAGACTGAAGCAGCCAGGGATTGACCGCCAAACGTCTGATTAGTCAATGACTTTCCATACCTCCTGAGAAGCTGTGCAAAGGGTTTTGCAAAATTCTCTATATGCCATGTAAGATTATATCAACCGAAATGTTAAAGTGGCAAGCAGATCTGATTAATATTTGTCAATTCAATCAAATAAGATATATCCCGAAAGTTCCTTTGTTACAGCAGCACCTGGATCTTGGAATTATTTATTAAACGTACTTATTTTTCTATAAATTTCTGTCACATCTTTTGTGAATACAGTAGATTTCCTTTCATGTCATTTAAGAAGAAAATGATCATTTCCAACAGGAAGAGGTACGGCAGCTAGTGAGAGCTAAGAGGCACAAGATGGTGCGAGCATTTGGTGTTCTACAGGAGCAAAGGGAGGAGGGCGGCGAGCCAGTGGTGACCCAGGCCAGCTGGAACCAACTGGTCCGACTGGTCCAACCCAACCTTAGTAATGCTCACAGAGAGCTGCTATGGAGCGTCTCTGATGACAAGAACCAAGGGGCCATTGGTGAGTGATATCCAAACCAACATACACACCTTAAATCCAAAACACGTTTAGGGAAGTTGAGTTTAGTAAAGTTCTTTATAAGTACCCAAGATGGAAGGGATGAGATTTATTTTTGTTTAGCCAGTTTGTTGTCAGCTGTTTAATCTGCATGTCACATAGTCAGCTGACAAGTAATTGTGACCATATGGAGAGTAACTGAGCATATTTATGTACATTTTCATGTGTTAGAGCTTTGACTTAATTTAAGGAGATGAGGTTGGAGATAAGGAGGAAGAGGAGAGATCAGTGTTGGAAGAGAAAGGCATAATGAGAATGACATGAAGCAAAAAATGTTAAAAGGTCATATATAGTTTGAAATAACTATTTGTGATCTTTAAAGAGTAAGAAACACAAAGACAAACATTAAACTTGTGGTTAATGCCCCTGGAATTGTAATTTAAGCAAGTAGGCAAAGTCAATAATGTTGTAGGCATTGCAAAGTGTAAAATTTCTGTCTAGCTTTTAATAAACTCCTGGTGCGTCACTATGCAACTTGGCAAAATAGTTCGTTTGATCCCAGATCCACAGCTAAGAAGCTATGAGACGAGTGTAATATTCAGGACAAATGAACAAAGCTGCTGTGCAATGCTGCCTTCTTTACATTTTAGCAACATTTCAAGGCCAAACTGGCTCTGTACGACTGAATATGACTGCATGTCATAGATAAACTATGGAACTGCATTACATCTTCTATTATTCTACACAAATATCTCAACATTTTGTATTTGCTTTGGAATAAGGGTAAGGTTATGAATAAGATTAAATGCATTTTAATTGCTTAAAGCCGTAGGTGACCAGGTTGTCTCACAGTTTTGTGTGTTCATGTGTAAACTGAGTACAGCCTGCATGCCCTAAATCTACCTAAAGGCCATTAAATTGTCACCAGTCCAGTCTAATCCTTGAAGCTGAGGCATTGTTCAGATGTCCAGTATCATTCAGCTCTGCATACTCTGCTGAGTCAGTGTCTTCACACTCATCTGCCACATGAAGGAAGTCAAAATGCATTATCATTGAGCATTTCTATTTTTCCACCAACCACAACATCTGATGTTATACAACCCAAGAAGAAAAAAAAAAAATCTAATTGATCTTTACAGTTATACATATTTCTCTGTGTGTGCTCTGCACGTGTGGTTGTTATCCCTGAATTCGTTTAATGATTTTGTCTCTATCAAGTTATTTGCTACTGCCTCTTATGCAGGTCTTTTTTTATTTTATTATTATTTTTAAACCATGCATCTTGGTTTTTAACCTCTGCTTTGTGAACATGCAGTGTGTGTGACTTTGCACTTGAGCAATAGCATGAATTTGCTGTTTCTGTTTTCTTTTTCCTCACTGTGAAAACCACTTTTGTGCTACGCTTTAGACATCCTTTCTAAAACTATAAAACTTTGCATTTTCACATGGGAGTCTTGCTTATAGAGCAAGCCTCAAGTGGCAGTTAGAGTTACTTCAGTTTTTGGCATTTTGTCTTCATTTTTCAGTCTTGCACAGGGGAGAAAAATTTCCAAAAATGCTGCTATATACTCGAAGGAAAAATGAAAACAGTTTTGCGGGGCGTACTGCAATTCCTGCATTTAACAAACAGAAGGTTGTGACATTAGGTCAGGGGTCGGCAACCTTTCTGATCATGAGTGCCATATAATATTTCCTCAGAA